CTAGAGCCCCTGAATTAGACAGGCCGACTCATCATCTATTTTTGCTCCAAAGAGCTAACATAAGCACAATACTAACATAACGTTAACTTGCGAACTTTTTTGCTCCAATATTGCTTGATAGGTCAGCTCTGATAGTATAGGAGCCTTACTTTAGAATTAAATGATGTGTTACGTCAAGCGCTCAGGTATCATAATTTTGATCTAGTTGCGCTTCTATGTCATTTTGATTTATGTTGCTAAGTTAACTTTCAAAAAATTCTATGACTGGCAACAGCAATTTTATTTTTTAAATAGTTTATTTTTATTTCTTTTAGGATTCGTTTTTTTTTTTAGCGAAATGTTTTTTTAACCTAACAGAATTCTTTGCCGACTGTTTTCTCTATGAATGAAGAAAATAAAGTAAATATTTAACTGTTGTGAAAAGAATCTTATTTAGTTGTACAAAGTACTTCAGCCAAAATTTGGGAGCCACGTAAGAGAATTATATATATTAGATCAGAAACACATCATTAAAAGGCAGAATGCTTTGGTGTTTTCAAAACAAAGCAAACGTTGCCACCGGCGGAAAAGAAATACAGCCAAAATTTGGGAGCCACGTAAGAGAATTATATATAATAGATAATATTAGTGCCATTGGTTAGTATAGTTTCAGACAGCATTAAAAATGTACCCAACTTTTACTGACGTGAATCATATTTGTAAGTTGAAGACATACATTTAACTAATATTTTCGTCCTTCAATTTTGGAAGGTTTTAAAATGTTTTTAAGAGTCCAGATTTTTTACTGATTTTTGAAATTAAGTTGTACTGTATTTATTTACAAGAATTACCATTACAACTTTGTAATAGTTTTTATTTGGGGACCCCTTATATTTAGAGATTTTAAAATAAACCAGTATATATGGAAATGAACCAAGAACCAAGCACAAACAGAAGTTGCATTATCCAAAATGAACGCTGTAGAAAGCAAAGAATATCATGGTCACCAAGAGCAGGATTTCAGCATAATTGAACAAAATTAATCGCCTCACCAAGGGGCCCCCGATTCTACAACTGTATTAAAATCACTTCTAACTTTGCTAAAGCGGCAAAACGGTAAGGAATAAATTTCTTTGCTGCTTGCCATTGAATGAAGGGAGAGCAAACCTCGTGATTTAAAAACCTTTCTGTCAGGAGTAGGAATATCAGTCGTCACAAAAGGTTTTGGATGCCGGTGAGGAAAGATGCTTCAATAACTGACTCTCACAGAAAGATATTCTGTATTTTATACACGAGGTGACCTCCGCTAGTCCCCTCTCCATAGCTCCATCATTGGTATTGTACTGACAGCCTGGTGGTAAAAAACCAATAGACTTGCTCTCACCGGTGTCAACGAAGCCACAAGTGGGTATTTGTTTCCTCTGAACGGGTTCAGGGATACGTTGACCACACCACAATGTCTAATACAATGTTGATTCCATAATGTTTAGTAATCAGGAACATTTAAGTAAGGATAATTCTCTCTCTCTCGCCCTAGTGAAACGTTCCAGTTAATATGGAAAATTAAGATAATGATAGGGTTATCAGACTTAAGGTCCTCTGATCAGATATTAATTACCTTCGAATGAACTGGAGGAGAAACGAAAGGCGTAATATTCTTTTCACGGAGGAGTCTAGTTTTTCTGCTCAACCTGATAATAGGCGTATTTTCATCTGGAGGGAACGTGGCACTAGAAACAATCCTGCGTTCGTGCACGAAAGTGTAAGATTTTGCAGTGGGAGAGTAATGGTCTATGATGGCATCTCTATTGATGGACGTAAGAATCTCTATATCATTCGAAATGGAGCTCTGACCGGTTATCGATATAAGGATGAGATCCTGAGACTTATTGTAGTCCCTTACGCTGCAGCAATTGAAGATGACTTTATGTTACTGGCCGATAATTGCAGTCTACATCGTGCTAAGTTGATGAATGATTTCCTTCTGGAGGGATGAATCATACGAATGGATTGGTCAGCGTGTTCTCCGGACATGAACCCAGTAGAACATGTTTGGGACATTCAAGACAGACTAATTTCTGGGTGCCTACCACCCCTACGAACTCTTAAAGAACTAGAAAGAGCTCTTCTGGAGGATTGGGACAGAATACTCCCAGCCCCTCATAAATAACCTCATTGACTCGATGCTTCAAAGGTGTTTAACGTTGCTGGCCTGTCCGGGGAAACCATGTCCCCTACTGAGAACGATTTTCTTTTAAGGAAATACTTTTTTGCTTTTTCTCCTCATGGGCACAAATAGTGTTTTTTTTTCTGTTGTATCCAAATGCTCGATAAAACTCATTTTTCTGACAAACAAATGTTTTTTCTCATCTCATATAGTCTACAACGTCTGTCGATAATGTATCAATCATTCAAACAATTCTCCAGGTGCAGAATCAACCACAACCTCGATAATTGTTTTGAGCAGTGTATATAATTGGACCAACAATCGTTAGAATCTTGGTTCTTAAACTGAAATGGCTTACCTTTCTGGAGCTGAACTTGTAATAAAGAGCCAGCATAATGCAAGTCAGGACGTCCAGCGTGTCGATAATGGAGGCTCCAATCCACATGCCCAAGCATCCCCCGAAACTGCTGATCAATTCTGTCGGCTGAAAGAGGAATATAAGGTTGTCATTAAATCTATATGCTGATAGAGATTTAAAAATAAGGAAATGAAGCAAAGCACTTTAAAAAGAAACATTTTTAATTGTAAACTTGCATTTAGAATCTTTAATGATTTCGCGACATGAATAGGGTTCTGGTTTTAATAAAGGATTCGGAAAATTATATAGATTTTGAAAATTTTCTTCAGTTAATCAAAATTCGGAGGTCATTTCTTCTATGCAATTACAATGAACTTAGAATACGATATAAAACAAAATAGCTCCTGTCGGTACTTTTTCTCAATAAAACCTGAAGAATGTACTCTGGTTTCTACTATTTAAAAACGATGGAAATTATAAAGAACAATCTGTTTTATGTACCGGGTGTCATAAAATTCAAAGGAGGTGATAAAAGGTGGACATCTACTATTTTTAAAGGATTGGAATAATAAAGAAAAATCTGTTTTATATACCGGGTGTCATAAAATTCAAAGGAGGTGATAAAAGGTGGACTTCTACTATTTTTAAAAGATTGGAATAGTAAAGAAAAATCTGTTTCATATACCGGGTGTCATAAAATTCAAAGAAGGTGGACTTCTACTATTTTTAAAAGATTGGAATAATAAAGAAAAATCTGTTTTATATACCGGGTGTCATAAAATTCAAAGGAGGTGATAAAAGGTGGACTTCTACTATTTTTAAAAGATTGGAATAGTAAAGAAAAATCTGTTTCATATACCGGGTGTCATAAAATTCAAAGAAGGTGGACTTCTACTATTTTTAAAAGATTGGAATAATAAAGAAAAATCTGTTTTATATACCGGGTGTCATAAAATTCAAAGGAGGTGATAAAAGGTGGACTTCTACTATTTTTAAAAGATTGGAATAGTAAAGAAAAATCTGTTTCATATACCGGGTGTCATAAAATTCAAAGAAGGTGGACTTCTACTATTTTTAAAAGATTGGAATAATAAAGAAAAATCTGTTTTATATACCGGGTGTCATAAAATTCAAAGGAGGTGATAAAAGGTGGACTTCTACTATTTTTAAAAGATTGGAATAGTAAAGAAAAATCTGTTTCATATACCGGGTGTCATAAAATTCAAAGAAGGTGGACTTCTACTATTTTTAAAAGATTGGAATAATAAAGAAAAATCTGTTTTATATACCGGGTGTCATAAAATTCAAAGGAGGTGATAAAAGGTGGACTTCTACTATTTTTAAAAGATTGGAATAGTAAAGAAAAATCTGTTTCATATACCGGGTGTCATAAAATTCAAAGAAGGTGGACTTCTACTATTTTTAAAAGATTGGAATAATAAAGAAAAATCTGTTTTATATACCGGGTGTCATAAAATTCAAAGGAGGTGATAAAAGGTGGACTTCTACTATTTTTAAAAGATTGGAATAGTAAAGAAAAATCTGTTTCATATACCGGGTGTCATAAAATTCAAAGAAGGTGGACTTCTACTATTTTTAAAAGATTGGAATAATAAAGAAAAATCTGTTTTATATACCGGGTGTCATAAAATTCAAAGGAGGTGATAAAAGGTGGACTTCTACTATTTTTAAAAGATTGGAATAGTAAAGAAAAATCTGTTTCATATACCGGGTGTCATAAAATTCAAAGAAGGTGGACTTCTACTATTTTTAAAAGATTGGAATAATAAAGAAAAATCTGTTTTATATACCGGGTGTCATAAAATTCAAAGGAGGTGATAAAAGGTGGACTTCTACTATTTTTAAAAGATTGGAATAGTAAAGAAAAATCTGTTTCATATACCGGGTGTCATAAAATTCAAAGAAGGTGGACTTCTACTATTTTTAAAAGATTGGAATAATAAAGAAAAATCTGTTTTATATACCGGGTGTCATAAAATTCAAAGGAGGTGATAAAAGGTGGACTTCTACTATTTTTAAAAGATTGGAATAGTAAAGAAAAATCTGTTTCATATACCGGGTGTCATAAAATTCAAAGAAGGTGGACTTCTACTATTTTTAAAAGATTGGAATAATAAAGAAAAATCTGTTTTATATACCGGGTGTCATAAAATTCAAAGGAGGTGATAAAAGGTGGACTTCTACTATTTTTAAAAGATTGGAATAGTAAAGAAAAATCTGTTTCATATACCGGGTGTCATAAAATTCAAAGAAGGTGGACTTCTACTATTTTTAAAAGATTGGAATAATAAAGAAAAATCTGTTTTATATACCGGGTGTCATAAAATTCAAAGGAGGTGATAAAAGGTGGACTTCTACTATTTTTAAAAGATTGGAATAGTAAAGAAAAATCTGTTTCATATACCGGGTGTCATAAAATTCAAAGAAGGTGGACTTCTACTATTTTTAAAAGATTGGAATAATAAAGAAAAATCTGTTTTATATACCGGGTGTCATAAAATTCAAAGGAGGTGATAAAAGGTGGACTTCTACTATTTTTAAAAGATTGGAATAGTAAAGAAAAATCTGTTTCATATACCGGGTGTCATAAAATTCAAAGAAGGTGGACTTCTACTATTTTTAAAAGATTGGAATAATAAAGAAAAATCTGTTTTATATACCGGGGGTCATAAAATTCAAATGAGGTGATAAAAGGTGGACTACTACTATTTTTAAAAGATTGGAATAGTAAAAAAAAATCTGTTTTATATACCGGGTGTCATAAAATTCAAAGAAGGTGGACTTCTACTATTTTTAAAAGATTGGAATAATAAAGAAAAATCTAATTTATATACCGGGTGTCATAAAATTCTAAGGAGTTGATAAAAGGCGGAAAAGTTACCATAGAGAAAATCCGATATACGCTATAAAACAACTATAAAAAGTGATTTTTAAATGTTAGGCATTTTTTAAAACAAAATAGCTTTAAAAGTAAAATTGAGATGGATCATTATTGGTAAATAACATTGATCCTTAAACATGTTTTAATAGATTGAATTAAAATTGAAATGGATCATTGTTGGTAAATAACATTGATCCTTAAACATGTTTTAATAGATTTAATTAAAATTGAAATGAATCATTGTTGGAAAATAACAATGATTCTTGAACATACTTTAATAGATTGAATTAAAATTAATATAATGGAATAAAAATAATCACCTGTATGCGTGGAACAGAAAACAGTTCGTTGAGACGAAATGCATTAAATTTGATGACGAGAGATACATTACTCATCCTAAAAAAATGAAAAAGTACTATAATTTAAAAATTATATATCTATTTCTTCTAAGAAAATAGTAACACTATTTTTTATTTGAAAATTAAAATGCTTTTCACCCATTGAAAAAATCTGTCGAAAAACAAGAGAAAAAGAAAAAAAACCTCAATTCGATTAGAAACGCAAATAAATCATTCCCTCCAACCGTAAATGAGTTTTCACAGAATCGGAATTAGTCCATTCACTTTGAGTGTCTGAAATGAGAAGTTAAATGGATGGACTTGGCCAATCGAAATGATATTTACCGTTTTTTTCTTCATTAGTCTGCAGACACGTGACATGATATAGGGCTTTTATTCATTTATTATTCGAAATAAAATGTGTGGCACAATTGAAGATTCTGACATATAACTTAAGATTTACTATTTTGAAGAAAAATGTTTTTATACATCTGTTTTTGTGCAGAACTGTAGTTTCATCTATTCGACGCATCAACTTCATTGCTAAAATAGACGCTATAAATATTGAGCAGGAAAGAGTGTTATCTTTGATCAGAAAGTAGATTTCCAAATAACTTAATGGAATTTAGTAAAAATTTATTCAAACCAATAATATATGTTTTGTGAATGTCTTGCACTTAATTTTTGAAAGTGAGGAGAATGGTGGTTCACCATATGTTGCAGCATTGAAATCTTTACATCACTTTTCCTTAAAACTTATTAACCCTTTCCTTCTAGCTCCCGTGAAAATGACGGGGTGAGGTTTCACCCTCTATTTCTCGCTCCCCTGAAATTTCCGGGCTGGAGTGTTCAGTAGTAACGCGCCAATAGGAATAAAACTAATTCATTTCTTTTTCCAGGAAAACATTTTATTTCTCATTCTATACACCATATGACAGTACCAGGATATTTTTTAAGGTAATTGTAGATAGTTAGTTAATTTTAAACTAGATGTAAGCACTAATTAAATACGTGTATTTGGCAAAATAGGCACTTTTTTGACAGTTTTCTTGAAAATTAACCGATCTTTAAGGTGTTAATGGTTTGGAGTTCAGTTTGAATATGAGTGAAATAAATCATGTTCAAAAAAGGTTTAGCGAACCTGAAATAGACTTCATTTTAGGAAAATTCTAAGGAATATTTTGTTAACACCTCTTTCGAAATTCACGCGGTGTTGTGACAAAGGTTAGGTTAAAATGAACATGCATTTTTATTTTCAAGTGATAGTTAATTTTATACATTAGATGTCGACATCAATGTTGTGTAAATTTAATAGTTAGTTAAATACGAGATCTTACGTGAAAAATCAATTCGGGCCGAAATCACATGCTTCAGATTGCAAGCCCCATTGTCTTGTTACTTGCATGGAGTGATACAACTTCATTAAGATGACTTTAGTATGTATCATGTTAATTTGAGTTGAAAATTAGATAACACGCATTTAAAGTTTAATTTAAATTTAATGATTAAAATATTCTTGATTACATATTGATACCATAACATTAAGTAATACAAAAAGGGGAAAGGAGCTCGGATTACTCACCAGGGAGTCATATCTAAATCTAGTCACCTTCCAACAGCTAGGCAAAACTTCTACTGATTCCTAAATGGATGCAACCCCTACAGCAAGAAGGGACTTCGCCAAACTCACCCTTTGGCACACTTTGTTGATGTTTTTGGCGCACTTACTATTTTGGGATTCCTTGCTCTGCATCATCCCTCCCCCGTCGTCATATCTAAATCTAGTCACCTTCCAACAGCTAGGCAAAACTTCTACTGATTCCTAAATGGATGCAACCCCTACAGCAAGAAGGGACTTCGCCAAACTCACCCTGTGGCACACTTTGTCGATGTTTTTGGCGCACTTACTATTTTGGGATTCCTTGCTCTGCATCATCCCTCCCCCGCCGTCATATCTAAATCTACTCACCTTCCAACAGCTAGGCAAAACTTCTACTGATTCCTAAATGAATGCAACCCCTACAGCAAGAGGGGACTTCGCCAAACTCACCCTTTGGCTCACTTTATCGATGTTTTTGGCGCACTTACTATTTTGGGACTCCTTGTTCTGCATCAGGAGCAAGACGAATCTTAAAGTGATATTCAGTCAATTTGTCCTTCACAGACAGGAATCACTCGTAATGACAGTCTCAGACAAGTACTCTGTGAATGCTTGGGATTTTATGAGAGACTCTGTTTCTGGAATTTGTATTAATTACTCAGGTTATATTTGTATTTTGTTAGAGTGCTGAATTGGGTGTCCCTTTGGTTTCGGCTGAACCCCGTTTCTGGATCATTGACTTTACTTTCATTGACTTCACTCTTCCGCAAATTTAGTTTTCCGATTGATTTATTTCAATATGTATGGTCAAAAATAAGAAAGGCTTTCGATTGTAAGGTTCGATACATCCAATTGTTTGAGTGGAACAACAAAGATCGGGCAAATATGCACAGAAAGTAGTGAAGGTTGGAATATCAAAGCTGGTAATCAAATACAGCAGTTCAAAGAATCACTTTTATTATTCTATTCAGATAATTAGATGTATCAAAAACTTTGTTTTGTTTACAGTAGTTGAAGTAGTATTTTATTGGAGTCAATATAGAGCTGCACTATGGGTGTTTGCAACACCCTTGAAGATGACATGACTGGACTTCTCAATTTCTCTGCAGAAGAAGTGGTTGCCAAGCTGTTTTAGCAAGACGACCTGCGCATGACGACACAAGCATCTTACGGTGGGACAGTTTAACAATACCTTCGATTCCTGCACTGACTAATCAAAGTGGTCACCTACCTGCTACTGAGTGCTACTAGTGATGAGTGCTACTAGTGATCTACTGAGAATCGTGTCTTACAATTAGTCTATTTTGGGACAATTATGTTTACAATCTTCTGATTTTCGAGTTAGTCTTTAGATGTGACGTCATAAACTTCACTATAAGCATAAAAACTTAATATATTGTAATTTGTATGGTCCACAGGAAATTGTGTTTGTGCTACCTGAACCTGTTGCATATACCTTAAATGGGTACATTGTATGTAGTGAGACTGATTCAATGCAAAAATAAGCCTACGCTGTTTTATTTTGCAAGGCCTAATAGAAATAAGGATTTATATTAAATTCTAAAGAGATTTGGTATGAGTCAACCGTAGTTATGATTTCAAATATAAGTTCTTAGGAGTTTTATTTTCATAACATTTAAATAAAAGAAAAGCATTTTATCTATATAAAAACTTTAAATGGTGAACTAACAAAGCATAGTTGTTATAACTACATATACGGAATGAAGAACTTCTTAATATGGTGGCTAGACCTGTTTCCTACAGAATATTTATATATTAGAAAATAGCATCGATGCGTATTATCTATCTGCTACAGGATAATTACCAGTGAGACGGCACATATATATATAAGAAATATTTTATTTTATACTCACTGACACCAAGGAGACACTTCGTAAAAATTGGATGAATTACACTGAAAAAATATTTGAAAAGAAAATATCGAAGATATTCTTGCAAAAAAATCTACTTTTTACTTTATACTAATAATCATACACTACCATTTTTAAATAAACACTAAAATATATTGAAGAGGAATTATAAAAAGAATACAATGAATAATTTATGGGTCGCAAATTTCGTTCACTCAACATAATTAGAGCAAAAGTTACACGACCGGACAATCTCGCTAGCCGTAAGATAAACCGAAGGCGCCTCTTTCGAGGAGGGAAAACATGTAGAGAGTGCAACGCTGAAGCAACTAACTTTGTTCATTTCGACGAAGATGGATCGATCAGAGGATAGCCTTCCAATGGGATGAACCGGGCTTGAATCCCAAGCAATGGTTGGTCGATAGGAATTCCGCATCCGGCTTGCACCGATCCCTCTGCTGACGTTAAATATCGTCAGAGGTAAACGGATCATGGGTTAGAGTATCCTTTCTAACCTAGTAAAATTAACCTTGGAAGGTTTGGGGTTTTTCCTCACCATGTAACGAAAATGCGGCTTAGTTCCATCAAAAAGTCCTCCACAAAATTTCGACGAAGCATTTCCGTGATTAGTTTCTTCTCCCTGTCATGCAGCATTCAATTACTGCTATATTTTCCAGAAAAAGTACAAAAAATCGATATAGAAATGAAGAACTATTGCAAAAAACAGCCTCGATTGATCATTGACTATTAGTAAATGTAATTATATGAGTGTGTGTGTTGCTAAGCGGCACACCACGCAGTTTTCTAGAGTAAGGATGATCATAATACTTTATATATACTGGGGAACCCCATTGATTTGCCTCCCTTCAGAAGGAACAAGTGCGCTCTTATATTAACACAGTCTACAGCGACTCGATCTTCCTTTGCTCAACTCCTTCCTTAAGGTCTGATATTCTTTATACTAATGTTTGTTTATGGTTAGTTGAAAGTTATTTGTGGCACTTACAACTTTGTTTATAGAAGGCATTCCGTTGGTGTTTAAAGGTAAATTAATGCGGCGGAAGCTGTTATCATGAGGCTGATACCTACGAAATGCAAATTCTAATCATGAAAGCCTAAACCGTATTCAGTTTTGACCCATCACTAGCAAACAGTAGTTTATCTAATTTAAGAATAATTTTTCTCAGACCATATAGCAGTGTTCAAAATTAAGAGAATTTGCATAATTTGTTGAATTTCCTGAAAACAACTGGATTGAATGTTCTACTGCTTCGAAACAAAGATGTAAATCTTGTGTGTCAAATACATAAGCGTATATGTGCGTGGGTAGAGCCTTTAGAAGAATAGTATAAGAATGGCAGAATCTGCTTGCACATCTAGCCAAATTTCTCGGTGCTTTTTGCAGCAGAAAAAGCCAATTCTTTTAATTTCATTTCAATCTACAGAACGTTTAGATGATGAAGAGAGCGGTAAATTAATGGAAATAGTTTTTGGACTTCAGATCTATCGAGAGAAAGCCTAGTCAAGGCCGGTCAAAATCCACAACAGTCAATGAAAACGAGTATTTGTCGAATACATTGTGGTAAATAACAGAAATGCTTCTCAGCGTGACCTCTATGCGGTCCCAGAAAGTCGAGTTTCCAGGATTACTGTCTCCAGATGGATGCACGAGAGCAGATTGTTTACAAAAACACCATTACGCCCCCCTGACTTTTGTTAAAAGAAGAATCTGTATACGATGGTTCAGAAATTGAAACATGAGTCAGCCTAAAATTTAGACTGACACTGGGCTAACTTTAGGCCCTAAATGTGTCCCAACGAGCTCTCATATGAAGTAATCTACACTCTAATGTTCGAGAAATATACTATTATGGCGGTTTGCTGTTCTCAGCAGACATAATGCTTAATTCATGCTCCGTGTCTTCGAAAAAGGTATTGGTGTGAGGGTTGAGTCCTATGTTCGCCATTTCAAGAGTGCAGTTCGTCCTGATTTCATTTTAATGGAGGAAACCACACGCCGCACCATTTCTAGTGGGTGAAGATATTCACCGGATGGCCAGCCGAATCTCCAGATCGCAACCCTATAGAGCATGTCTGGGACGCTTTGGGAAAGGCAATTGCACATGTAGCCCCCTCCAAGAGCCAGCTAGTGCCTAAAAACAGTATTTCTGGACGATTGGGATAAACAGTCACAAGAACTCATAAACTACCTTATTTGCCGCCTGAAATCACATTATAAGGTCTGTATATCAGAACGAGGGGGACATACCCCCCATTGAAATTTTTTTAAATTCAATTCTGCAACAACTATTTGATAGCACACTACTCTGGTGAGTGTTACGTATGATCATGCGTCAGTATTACAACCGTATAATGGTTATAATTTTATTTTTGTACTATATCAACTTAACGAAACCAACGTTCAAACCAAATTTTATTAAAATTTGTCCTGTAGATCTGGAGATAATCCACCTAATATAAAGAATTCTCTTAATTTGGAACACCGGTTTAGATTGAATTGCTATTTGTTTTAATATATTAATTTTTCGGAGGTTTTTTCTTCTTCTGAAATCAACTTTTATGTTTTGAAAGCTTGTCACGCCCCGTATTACCCCTTTTAAATTAAAAAAAAAACAAGTGTTATTTCTTAAATAACTGCTACGTAAGTTTCATAAATTATCAATATATAATTTTTCGTTCTGTTGCTCAAATAATATAAAACACTAAAGGAAATAAAAACACTGAAGTTGATGGTTTCTAGAACTTCATAGCAGTTGTGTAAGCAAATATCATTTAGAAGAGAGCACATTTAAATTAACAGAAAAAATTATACTTTTTGAAATGAATAGGTGGGTCTACTATAGCGTGGGAACTGTGGAATCTCAGAAAGGATTGTGACTATCTATCTTATTATATAAAACGCTAATACGTATGTATCAATAAAACCGATGATATTTCTTTTCTCGCGTTGGCAACAGTTTTCATTTTTAATTGATAGGCTTCGGCCCGCAAGAGCACGTAGTGAGCATCATATGGCTAATCTATATTATATAAAACGCTAATACGTTTTAATTGATAGGCTTCGGCGCGCAAGAGCACGTAGTGAGCATCATATG